TAAAAAAATAAATAAATAAATAAATAAATAAATAAATAAATAAATAAATAAATAATAATAAAATACATAAATAAATAAATAAATAAGTAAATAAATGAAATAATAAATAAATAAATAAATAAGTAAATAAATAAATAAAATAAATAAATAAATAAATAAAAAAATAAATAAATAAATAAATAATTTATAATTTTCATATGCATATATTCTAAGATTCCAACTCTGAGAATTTCTTTTAGGTGTTTCGTCTAAGAATTCTTATTTTAAGTATATTTTTCTTATTAGTATTTTCTTCGTATAGAATATGTGCAGTATTTCCAAGTATTTCCTCCAAGTACTTCCTTCAAGTATTTCCTCCAAGCAATTCCTCCTCCAAGCAATTCCAAGTGGAGGAAACTCCATGTCCAGTTAACTATAAAATAGCTGCAATACATCACACTTCACTTTACTTTACTTCACTTTACTGCACTGCACGATTGAACCCCACCAGGCCTGGGCGACTGAAGAAATGCTGCAGCAGCAGCCCTTTATATAGGGCGACCTTCACTCAAAGCATTAGTCGTTCTCAAATGTTGAGCCAGGCGCCAGGTAGAGATCGTTGCAGTCGACCTTAGAGTGACCAATGGAAGCTCTCTCTCTGCTGCTGCTAGCATTCGGGCTTCGTTTTATTCAAGTATAAAGGGACTACAAGGGACTGCTGCTGCATACATATGGTCAGCTTTGCAGTTGGGCAGACTGAGAGATAGGCAGAGAAACGGAAGACAGGGAGAGAGGCAGATATACAGACAGAACAGACATATAGGTAAATAAGCATGCATAGTTATATCGGATTAGCTCATTATTTATTATATTTAAACTAAATGTTGATATGCTAAAAGACTTGCACATTTATATTCATAATTATTAGATGGTATAGACAGCAGGTTTTTCTCTTCTACAGTTCTCTTGAAGACTAACTCTGCCTCAATTTCTAACTGTTCCATTCCTCACTCAACTTCAATTGTTTTAGTATCAATAAATAAGCTAGATTGCTCTCAAATAGGCTAGATCTAGCCTGAAATAGTCTAAATTGGCAACACTGCTTGCAGTCTTATATGAGCGTACGTATGTGTGTGTCTGTGTCTGCTTGTGTGTATGCCTGTGAATGTGAATGAAGAATTATTAAACATTAGTCCCTGGAAGGGTTCAGGAGTTCTCGTGGTCGGGCAGTCTCGACTTTGTTAAATACAAATGAAATTAATATTAAATATAATTATTAAAATTATCAATATTCACATAATAAATCCCTCCGATCGCCTTCATTTCAGGTCTGATTGTGAATGGCTTCGTGAACGTGAACATCTCGACCATCGAACGACGATTTGGTCTGCGCTCGCGCCAGACTGGTCTGGTGGCCAGTGGCTACGATCTGGCGTCGTTCGTGTGTCTGGTGCCCGTGACGTACTACGGCGGGCGGAAGGGCGCGTCGAAGCCGTGCTTCATTGCCATTGGGCTGCTGCTGATGGGACTCGGCTCGCTGATCTTCTCGCTGCCGCACTTTCTGGTCAGCAGCTATCGGGCGACCATAGCCGAGGCGAATCTGTGCGAACGGGATGGCCAGGCGAATCAGACGATGGTGGGCAAAGGTTTGTGGTGGGGCGGGCTGGACAAATAGCACTAAATGCGATGCCTCTTGCAGCTGGGATGCGGCGCTGACCCGGAGGAGGAGGCAGCTGAGCTGGAGCTGGGCGAGAGTTTAACTTGGACGGTTTGGCTGTTCTTTGCCGCGCAACTTTTGCATGGAGCCGGCGCCTCGCCGCTCTTTACGCTGGGCGTAACCTATCTGGATGAGAACGTATCCACAAAGATGTCATCTGTTTACTTGGGTAAGTTTAACTGTCGCATTGATAAGACATTTCTGGGCAAACTTTGAGACGGCTGCTCCTGCTGCTCCTGCTGCTGCTGCTCCTGCTGCTACGAAGTCTGTCTGCTCCTTGCGGGCATATCAAAGGATCTATTAGTTCCACACACACTCACACATGCATATTTATTTTTATTTGCCATATTGCCAAACGATGCCAGCTACAAAGGGAAGTGAATAGACTGTTTACTATTTGCACCCCAGGCCCAGGAATACCCCCTGAATTCGATGCTTGCACAACTGCGTCTGCCTGCCGTCTCCTCCCCCGCGCCCATTGACCCAATTTTAAAGCTGAGTCAGGCGCAATTTGGCGAGGCCAGGACCTGATGTCAGCCAGGGGCCCAGGACACGCGCTAAGCTTGAAGACAGCCGGCGAAATTTATTGCCTCTTAGTTAAGTTTATCGTGGCTCCCATCCGACAGCATTCGGAATTATCAAAGCCCGTCCAGCTACGACGAGTCGTCGTCTGCGCCTTTTGAAACAATTGAAATTCGTTTTTCGGGGGATTTTCCCGATACTTTCTTCTTTTTCGCATTTTCATTTGTTTATTTGTTGCTCCGCCTGCAGCAGCAGCGGCAGGAGCAGCGGCAGCATTCGAAAAGGATAAACACTTTCAGCCAAGTTATTAAATTCGCAGTTGCCTTTGCCTGCGCCCTGCCCTGCCCCATCCCACCCCCTTGGCCCACATCGTGACACTTGTGTCTTCTCCGCCTTTTGGCCATTGTCATGCAAATTAAGATGCAGCCAAATGATAGGACATGCATCGACTTATTGCCAAAACATTCAGCCAGACAGCCAGCCACTCCTCCTGTTCATCCTCCTGCCAGGCAGGAGGCAACCTTCTATGGCGCAACGGCTGACAAAATAATTGATACCAAGCCCAAACAAATAGAGTCTAAACTAGGAAAATATTTCATTTACTTGACAAATTCTAAGCAAAGCTCAATCAATTATTCAAAATATTTGCACTTTATTAAATATGTTTTATATATTATTATATTTTTAATATATATTATTATTTTTATAATTATTACTTTATTTATTTTATCTTTTATTGTTTCTAAATTTTGTTTTGAATTATTTAAATTAATTAATAATTGAATTCCAAGCACAGCTCAATCAATTATTCAAATTATATTTGCATTTTTTTATATTTAATTTATATATTATTATATTTTTATATATTTTATTGTTTATTAT